GTCTACCTGATCCTAGCAGCTCTCACAACTTTCAAATAGCAAGAGGCATGCAAGCCTCAAGTACTGTTGTCTATTCCTCTGCTTCAAGAAAGGAGGTCCAATGCAGACCACAGTGCAAGGCCAAAAAAACCCCAAAACCAAACATTTATGGGCAGACTAACACAGGTCAGGGCACACTGCTTGGTCTCATTAAGGATAATGTCAGTGTGGACACAGTTTACATGCTCGTCATGCACCTTACACTAAGGAGCCCTGGCTTCTGCAGCTCAATAGTGTAAGCCAAGAATCAGGGTCACACTCAGAAGGGAAGTGGGAGAGTTTCTTTAGTAAGAATTAATTGAAAACACAAGAACTGCTTGCCTTCCTTCTTTAAATATGGTTGGTTGGGTTTTTTTGCATGATTAAATGGCTTCTGTTGAGCCTCATGCATATACAGCTCAGACAGACAATCAAAGAAAATTGTCATTGTAACTGCTGTTCCAAGATACATGGAAGGCAATCTGCTGACCACCTTTCCAACTGAAATATCTACCCTTGAAGAGAATCAGACTCATTTCAGCAATGCTGTGTGATCCTCAAGTGTACTTTGTTTTACTGATACAGAAGACATAAACCAGTCTAGAAAGTGGTCTTAGAATCAATGTTTATTGTGCAGGTCCGACATAAAAAGATATGAAATATAACTGATGCATGATATGAGAACAAACAGTAAATGAAAACCCGAAGATGGCTTGTGTATCCAATCTAAATAGTAAACAGAGGTACCACAGAAAGAAAATAAGGCAGGCTGAAAAGAAACTTTACAAGCACCACACAAAAGCTATCCTGCACAAAGAGCAAAATACAGCATATGTGCTTCTAAATCTCATCCTATTTTGAGGAATTTAATCATGGATAAGCCTTTTGCTGCCACCTGTACAGAAACTGATGTTGCACAGAGTACTTCAGGGCAGTGAAAATAAGGAGGCTTCAAATAGTTGAACTAACAAACATGAATTAAACCAGAGATCTAAACTTCTCCACAGTAAAAGTTTTATCCACATTCATTCCTGCAGACAAGTTTAATTGCTGTTCAGTAACATTCATTTTAATGTGAAATATTATTTCAAGTTTGCCCTCTTATTTATCCAGTGTAGAAACTACACACAAGTATAATCGACAGGTATCAGAGAAACAACCTGTGGTAGATCAAAGCAGTTGTTTCAAGAGCTCTTGAGAGACTACTAGTCTGAAGAGGATGCTCACATCCATCTTATGCTGAGATCACATTATGTTTGTGAGAACTAGCGTTTTCCTGCACGTCTCGGAGGCATGTCAAAATGTAGCCCTGGAGGACCACTGACATCTGGTGGTCAGTTCACTCCTTCCCAACAGTATCTGCAGCTCCTGGCAGTGCAGAGACTACTGAGGTCTGGAGGGAAGTAGAACTGCTCATCAATAATTACCTTGTACCACAGCCCACAGGGCCGCTAGTGAGAGCTATATCGGCAACATTTTAAGTGTTCTTAGTTATAACTAATGCATTAAAAAAGAGAAAAGAAAAAATAAAATATAAAACAATTCTAAAGAAAGCTAAATCATATATATTGAATTTTATGCTGACTTGATCGGATTATGTTTTACAGATGGCCTGACAGGAACACATGCCAGGAAAGCATTAAGTTACAGGCCTTACTTTGTGTTAAACTTTGTGGAATTTGTTTGTTACAAGCAAATGCAGATGAACTGCAATACACAAACAACAAACTCAGTTGAAGCTGCCAGTACATTAATAGTACTGTTGGATTAAACTTACTCTAAAGATAATAAAGTTTTTATAAATAGAGCATATTTAATTCAACAAGTTCTTGAGAACAACTGGGTCATGAAATAGAATTATATAAAACCGTTTTTCTAACAAATGAAATAAAGCATTGTTTCTTAGGTAAGATGTTTCTTGTTACTGAAAAGGAGCAATGAGATTTAGGTCTTCTTTTGCTAGACAACTAGCACAATATTAAATTATGAGCACGAGTATTCAACAATTTTATCCATTTTGATATGGGCTATATGGTGAGACTGCCCAGACAGAAACTGCCTCAGTTCTCTCCAGTAAACTTGAGAGACCATCTTCCTTCTGCTGTGTGCAGAAAGACCAAAGCCATGAGCACTGGATCTAAAATATTCTTAGGCTATTTAAAGCTATGTTTTGCTTGTTGCAGTTATCTACAGCTTGTAAACAAAACTCTGAGGCTTTCAGACATTCATCAAGAATACAAAAATCTTTAACTAAACTATCACGAGAATTTTCAGGCCTTCCCAACTGCTTTCTTGCTGCAAGATTTAAAGCCTATTCCAGGTAATTACGCACTTCTCATTGAACTGGGAGATCATTTCAAACCTAATAAAACTCTCAGCATCTGCTGAGTAGTGGGAAGCAATCAAAGAGTTTTTCTATGCCTTTCCTACATACCACAAGGGTGCAGCTTTGCAAAAAATGTGCAGTACAAATAATCTGTCTCCAAACTGACATATACTTTCACTTACCACCAATATGACACCTCTCCATAAGTAAACAGATTGCTAAACTACAGTTCCACCTTCGATCTAGGCTACCTAACCAGACTGAAGGGTAGTGAACTATTTTAAACTACTTCTACAAAATGCATTGTTGTGCATACATTTTCTAGTTGGCTGTGGCACACTGTGGGCAAACATTTTATAGAGGCGTGTGCCATTACTAACGTAGTCAAGTGGTGTGCAAGATATAGCTAGTGCTCAGAGTAGAAACAAGAAAGGGTACATGAGCCACTAATATGGAGACAACTCTATCAAGCCACCCCAATGAAAGCAGTAAATGCACACCGAGATATTCTGGTTTGACTCAGCCAGGGCTCACAGCTAAGCTGGGTATCTGGCTGAGCCAAAGGCTACCCAAAAAGCTTTGAAAGGACAAGTTTCAGGTTTTTCACTCCCATTTGCATTTCAGCAGAAGTCTAGCATCTGTTGACCACTGATGTCTCTGGAGAATTTCACTCATGTGGCCCACAAATCACTGATGTCTGCTCAAAACCAAAAGAAAAACATACTAGAGATGGAAAAGTGGACAAATAACGATTGAGAAATACAAGGGCATTTTCAGGGTGCGCAGTGACTAGGTTAGAAAAGCAACAGCTCAGCATGAACTGAAACTTGCCAGAGATGTCAAGAACTACAAGAAAGGGTTCTTCAGGTACATTAAGAAGCAGAAACGAAAGGAAAATATTGGCCTGCTGTTAAGCAAGAAAGGGGAATTAGTTACCAACACTGAAAATGCAGCAATTATCAACACTTTCTTTACTTACGTCTTCACCAGCACTGTTGGGCCCCAGGCCTTGGGATCCGAAATCCAGGTCGACACAGACACAGATCCACCATCAGTGAAGGACAAGTTAGTGTACGAACTATTACAGGAGCTTGACCCCTACAGATTGATGGGCACTGACAATATCCACCTGAGGGTGTCAAGAGAGCTGGCTGATGTCACTGCAAGGCCGCTCTCCATAATCTCTGAAAAGTCATGGAGACTGGGAGACATCCCAGAGGACTGGAAGAATGGTTATGTCACCCCATCTACAAGAAGGCCTCAAGGGAGGATCCAGGAAATTACAGGTCCATCAATCTTACATCAATCCCTGGGAAGATTATGGAACAAATCCTCCTGTGGGATATCACAAGTCAAACCAAGCACATGACTGGGAAAAGCCAGCACGAATTCAACAAACTGAACTGTGGACACTGCCTACCTGGATTTCTCCAAGGCTTTTGACATGGTTTCCCAAAGTCTCCTCCTAAGGAAACCTCCCAGAAGGTGGTGGTAAAGAGCTCCTTTTTGAACTGGCACTTGTCACTACTGGGGTCCTCCAGGGATCGATACTGGGCCCAATGCTGTTCAATGTCTTCAAAAGTGATCCAGATGATGGGATCAAACGTACCATTACGAAGTTTGCCAATGATAACATACTGAGTGGGGAAGTGGGCACTCTGGAAGAAAAGAGCTGCCGTGCAGGATGACCTGGATACACAGGAAGAGTGGGACAACAAGAGGCTTGTGAAGATCAACAAGGACAAGTGCAAGGTCTTGCCCCTGGGTAAACACAAACTAAGAGTGCAGCACAGGCTGGAATCTATCCATCTGGGGAGCTGCTCTGTGGAAAGAGATCTGAGGATCCTGGTGGACAGCAAGCTCAGTATGAGTGAACTGTGTGCAGCTGTGGCAAAGAAAGCCAACAGGATGCTGACTTACATCAACAAGGTCACCACCAGCAGAGATAAAGATGTTGTTGTCCCACTTAGTGCTTCAAGTTACACCTGGAACATTGTGTTCAGTTTTGGTCCTTGCAATACAAAAAAGATGTGGACAAATGAGAAAATGGCCGCAATGATGATCAAAGGACTGGGTAAGCTGTTGTATGAGGAAAGTTTGAGAGAGCTGGGCTGGAGAAAAGAAGGCTCAGGGGAGACCTTATCACTGTATGTCAGTATTTAAAGGGTGTCAACAAAGAAGATGGAGACTCCCTTTTTACAAGGAGTCATATGATAAAAATGAGGAGTAATGGGTAAAAGTTACTCCTGGGGAGGTCCTGGCTGGACACAAGAGGAACATTTTTCACAATGAGAACAGTCAGTCATTGGAATAATCTCCCCAGGAAGTGGTGGATTCCCCAACACTGGACACTTTAAGATTCAGCTGGACAAAGTGCTATGTCATCTTGTCTAGACTATGCTTTTGCCAAGAAAGCCAGATGATCCTAGAGATACCTTCCAACTTGGTATTCTGTGATTCTATGATATGTGTTTCAGGTCTCTTCCTGCACTGCTGCATGAACAAAAAGTGACAAAAGTGGCTCCACAAGACTACTTCTTAAAACATTCCTAAGGGTCCAGCTGCAAATCAATAGACATTCATCAGTACAGAGACACTCACTCCAGCACACAACAGGCACAGAGCCTATGTTCCACTTAAATCCTACTCCAACTACTTAGAGTAAGTGCTATTTTCTGTATTTCAACAGTGCTGGTTTCTGCACCGTAATGCATTTCATCCACAGTGAAAAGCTGTCACATTGCTGCATATCTATTAAACAAAAGCATTATAATTAGGTCAGCTACTGTGTAAAGGAGACAGTCGCCACTTCAACAAAGCACCGTCACAGTCCTCACAGGTCCTTGTCTGAAAAGAAAGTCCCTTCTTTCCTTTGTTGTCCCTCCTACACGTGTTTTCCACAAGTATCTCGGCATTTCCAATCCAGTTCTACAATAGCAGGAGATGATTACTGCGTGACAATGTTCTAATTCAGAGACATAATCCTTCTATGTTTATATTTTATTGGGGATATTTTCCAGGGTGGGTGGAGATGCCCTCCCCTCACCACCAGGGACAGATGGGTCTAAAAATAACTTTGCCTGGTTCTAAACGATAGAATCACGTTGGTAAACCTCTTCCGGAGACACATGAAAGCCAGATAACCCATTCCTGCCAGCACGCTGACCAGCAGGGTGGTGCCGAGAACCCTGGGAGCTCTTTTCTTGGCCACACGGAATGCTGTTGGCAGCACAGCTGAGATTAATATATTGTTGACGTGTCCTAAAACTTTGTAAAATGCTTTTCTCTTCAGGACACGCTCATAATAGGCTTCCAAGTTGGGTCGCTTTCCATTTCCCCAGTTTCTTCTTGCTAATCCCAGAAACTTCAGGCGATGTAATGTGACAGCAAGTGACACATCTGCCAGACTGAAGAAGTCACCACAGAGCCAAGGCTGATTTTCATCTTCTAAGCAGAGATAAAACATAAAGAATTAGGAGCTAATGGAATAGAAGCCACGAAGAAGCCTCCGTAACCTTTAGTGCTATTTCAAAATGCTGTCTAATAAACACCATCAACACTTCAGTTAAGACAGGACTTTAATCAATTAACATTTCCCTAATCCCTGTCCATTCTTCACACAATATTGCAGTCTTAGGCTCAGCAGCCTGGCCTATATTTGTTAATGAAAAAAGAGCCACATTTTAGGTCCAAAAATTAAAACCCACAGTAAACACTTATTTTCCTCAACTACATTTCTCAAATCTGGATTAAATTAAGCAGGAGTGTAAAGGAAGAAGGCAGTTTAGCTTTTACTGAAAAGCTATCACTTGCCTGAAGAATTCATCATCTCAATGGCTCCACTCACCTCTATGGCATTCACTCAAACACTGCTGATTTGTTAGAGACTTTTAACTCAAAAATAAATGGATCAGATGACTGACCTGCACCAAACACATTAGCTCAGTGAGAAGACAAGAGTCTGTCCACCTGCCCTTCCATGGGTTTTTTTCACTGAGGGGTTTTGGCTGCCCCATCCTTGGAAGTGTTCAAGATCAGGTTGGATAGGTCTTTGAACAACCTGGTCTAGTGGGAAGTGTCCCTGGGTTGGAAGTAGATGATCTTTGAGGCCCCTTCCAACCCAAACCATTCTATGATTCTGCGGATATTCACCCTGCCCACCATTAGTCAAGAGCACAAATGCAGATCCCAGGCTCCCTCTTCAGTCAAAGGAAAAAGGTGAATCTTCCTGGGATGGCTCAAAGAAGGCACTGCCAGGCAGCATCACACCTCAGTGATCTGAAGCATCACCACCTGAAAGGGCTGACCCATGCTGGCTATGCCAAAAGCTTTTGAAACCTAGGATATGAAACTTGGTAGCTAGCATAGCTGCCAGCATGCTAACCTACATCTCAAACAGAACTATGCTGTTGCCTCCTCATTTGCAACCTTTTGCAGTTCTTCCCACGCAACAGGCACAAAAACACTTGCATGAACATTCAGCAGCACCTCTGTGGAAACAGAAATTTTGCAATGTCCCTTTGAACTCATTTGCCACCAGACGAAAGCAACAGTTTGGCACAGTGCTGGTACCATTTCATTTCAACTACTTATGCAGGTCTGGAAGAAAGGCCTCTGTACAGAATGTGTGTATCCTATGTTGCTGAAAGAATACCTGGGGATTCATCCAGTGCATTAAGTAAGATGATGGAAAGGAAGACCAAAGAAGCTAACCTGTGTGAAATAAAGATGCCTGCTGTGGCAGCGGTAGTGTGAGGGATTGGAGTGGTAGTGAGACAAGCAGAAGCTCAGAGGTTGGCCAGGACCTGGAGAAGCATTGGTCACAAACCTCAGAAAAAATTTCAAGAGGCAGATAATAGCCTGTAATCCTGGCGGTTTCCAGCTCAGGATAAGCTCAACTGTATCAGTTGACTCCTTGGAAAGGCTATTTAGCATAGAAAGCAAATGGGCTGCTGGAAATGGTGACAGATTTCATTTGCTGAACAGAATCATACCACTGTTTGTGAATTAAAACATTTTCTGTGTCTCTTTCACAGTTGAGCCAGTAGAAAATTGAACCTAGATTTTCAATTGCTAGTTCAAATCTACTGTCTTCTAGTTCAAATCTACTGTCTTGGTAGTAACTGACAATTACTACAACAGCTATTTATAGAGCCAAATGCAAAGAGTCAGAGGTCTGAGCAGATGCAGCTAATATTGACTAATGCTTCATGCAGCTCCCAGTGAAGTCAGAGGAAGGATTCCTATTTGCACCACTGGAAGTTGCATCAGACTCTGAAGAAGCAGAAGATTAATTCCATTTAAACCAAATTTGACTTCCATTTGGGTGGGTGGCAGGTAAACACCACTGCTTTCCAAGAGGGTGGAGGAGGGGGGTTGCTTAATGATTAGAGCACTTATCTAAATTGTTAATTCTGCATATACCACAAACATCAGCACAGTATTTACACAGGATAGTAATAAGCCTATGTTAAAACATTAAGGTTGTGATCATTCTAGTGAACTGGCACCTACAACTACATCAAGAACAACACTATATAGTTAAGGTTTTCCTTATTTTCTTGATAAAATACTGCAAAATTGTGCAGCTAATTACAGTCACTATGCTGAAAATGTGATCAAGCACTCTCACGAGACAATGAGAACTCACTGACAGCAGCAGTAAACTAAACCAGTATTTAAAACAGCATTAATCCGTCCTGTGATGTTAGACCAGTATATGCTAAGAGTTGATACATTGAAACCAGTTCTATAATGGTGCTGTCAACAAGTTTACTCTGTCTTCCCAAACATAAGCATCAACAGGATTTAGGAAGAATAATTCCTTACCTGGTGTTTCCTCATTTCGCCGCTGCAATTCAGTCTCAACCTGATCCAAAACTTTTTCCAGTTCATCCAATATCTTCTTTAGGTATTTTATATTATCATGATCCAGCAGTTTAGACTAAATATATATACAGGTTAGCATTTTAATCATTGTACAGAGTTTATACTTTCATCAGAGAAACTTTTACTTAGATGCTACAGTGCTTATTTATAAAATGTGATTATTTTCTCCACACAGTCAGCTGGATGCCATTTGGATACTACTCAACAGCCCAACACCAGATACGTACTTACCTGTGAAGTCAGTGGGACCAGTCCAGTACTTCAGCACACACTTGAAGTGTGTAGCTGATCTGGGGGATAGACTGCTTCATGCTTTGCAGGGTTAAACCACTGCATGGCATTACTGGTAATGACAAGCAAAACAAATGTTTACATTGTGACAGAAGAAGCCTGACACTAACAAGCTGATAATAAAAGAGGGGAATATAAACAGTTTTCTTACTTTAAGGCGCTTCTGTTTTGCTATGTAGGCATCTTGAAGGTCTGGATTTTCTTCCGCAAGTTTTTTCAGCTCTGATTCTGTGTTACTTATTTGACCTGACACAAAAAAAACAAAGGAATGACATCAGATATCCAAATGCAATCCACAGAAACAGATCAATAGCTTGTGTACAAATATCACACCAAAGAAATGGGAAGTGGTACTTCAATGTAGCATCACCATCAACTTGGGATTCAAAACCATCATGTTTTGGTAAACTTAACTGCTGCATAAATTGACCTCACCACATCTTCTGCTCATCAGGTTGCAATGAACTCTGTGAAGTGGTTATCTGCCAGGCAAGAATGAGGAATTCTTGTTAATAATTTTCTCTTACTCAGATAAAACCATTTTGCTACCAAAATCTGTGCTAAGTCCCTGAAATTCTACTAAAGCACCTTTGGTCTCTGCTGGTTTTGCACCTCAGTTCCTGTGTTCCTAACACACTTTTCATGCTGTGAAAGTGCAGACAAGCCCATACTGTGATTTTCTGCACATCAGTGTAGGTCACATGCATAATTCCACAGCAAAAGCCTAAATACCACTGAATGTGGAACCCAGGCATTTTCAGTTAGCTAAAAATGTGACACCAAAATCTGTGATCCTTTTTTGAAATGTTCATTATGGAGTACATGGTTGTTCTAGAAAAAAACATACATTACACGATTTAAAGAAATAATTATGTGAAAAATTTAAGATAATTCTATGGATTTCTACTACATGTGTATAGCCTTTGCTCTCCTTAAAATGCATCTTTGCTTGAAAATGCCATACTTACTGACCTAGAATACTCTCACTTGTACTTGATATTTAAGATTAGTTCCAATTAAGTCTTATAAATTAAATCATTAAAAAATTCTTGCTAGAGAATAATGAACTCACTGTTTCATATATTCTTTGCTTCAACCTGACATGACTGTGAAAACATCTTTCAACACAGTGTATGAAGAAATTGAAGGATGTAATCACACAACTAAAATCTTATGTATGCAGTTAATTACTTAATGGCATTTGGTATGGATTAACATAATATATAACTGGCTGCTGGCTTATTATATCTAGCACTCTCAAAAGATCAGCTTTTCAAAGCTGGAAACTAAACCATCTGGGTTTGAACAAGCAAAGGAATAGATTAGGAACATCCACAAGCTACTAAAAAAAATGCTTCAAATGAAGAAAGCAGGCTATGTGAACAGCATCTGATGTCCAACTCTGGTGTCCAAATGCAGGGGGAAAACAAACAAAAACAACAACAACAAAAAATACTTACAACTGAAAGATTATTTGCCAAGGATTTCTCTCAATATCACTGAAATATGTATTTCTACAAATTACTGGATTTCAAACTGGAGTTCATTTCAGGAGGTTTCTCTGTTATAAAGGGGACTGGGCAACATAATCTACAGTTATCTGCCCTTTACATATTCTTTTCATGGGAAACTGGTATGTATTTAAAAGTCCATCAGGTAAAGTACCCATTCCAAAGAAGTCAAAGGACATTTCACCATTGATTCCACCAGACCAATGGTTCATCCGTTATCCTGATTATATATTGTTGCATTATTTTCACCCAGGATTTTAGTTTAAATTGTGCTTTAACAAGTTCCATTGGTCTGATGAACCCATGCTGCTTAATTCTTCACACTTTTTCTTCCTCCCTGCTCCCGGCACCAAGTTGATACTAGTACATTCCTCAGACCAAAAAGGCCTGATGATTCACCTATTATATATTAGATAAACAGGCTCTGTTTCATTGAGGCAAATTTGCATTTGCACCACTTTGAGAGAAAAGCAATTGCTTTAATTTAATAGGTAAACTTATTACAAATTTACAAGCACAAAAAAGAAGTGTTTCCTTCAGTGTAGTGGTTGGATGTGAGCAGCAGTAGAGCTGTTCCCTAGAAATTGCTTTATAAGCATAAACAGCAAGATCAGAAAATAAAATACAGCAGTGACAGCTGCCATTTTGTGCAAAATGTTATGCACAAGATAACATTTTGAATCATTAGGAAATTAATTCCACAGATACCTCAAAAATTATACTTCTTCCTGTTTTCAAAGCATAACAGACTACACTGTTAATAAAAAGTATCAAAATCAAAACTGGAAATCTGCGCTCCGTGTATTCTGCTTAAAGTGCACTGAAGACACAGATGAACGCAGTGCAACAACCTATTAACTGATAGGCATTCAGAGCTATACCAGTACATACTACGAATTCTGCTGGTAGCATAGGCCGGAATCATGGAGTCCACTGTTAACTCAGGGTGCAGGATGCAGCCATGTGTGTAGGCATCCATAGGCAAGGAGTCTAAAAGCTCTCTGTAGTGCTGCACCCTTGGATAATACATGCTCCCTTCTTCTGGCATTAATCTTGGCACTCCCTCTGCAATACAAAGTTAAAAATGAAGTTAAGAACAGAAGAACCATGTAATTGACTAAAAGCAGTATTTCTGAAGTTGCTCCAGTTATGTCCAGCTGGCACAGATGACACAGTCACAGCTAAGTCACCTGTTCCCTGATGTAACTCAACAGTTATCAGAGCTCAGGGAAATGTATATACACATACATCATTTCGAAATGTTTCAATAATTCCAACTCCTATGCAGGAATCCACATAAACACATATTTAAGAGGCCTTCAAATCAGAAAACCAGATTCAGTATCTATTTTGTACTTCTAGGAATGGGAGGCTGTGGCACACAACCCTTTATCCCTCTCACAATAGACTAGAATATTCTGCACACCACTGAGTTCTACCCTGCCCTCGATCGACGTGAACCCCAACTCCTCATTTGATGAGGGCACCAGCATTAAATACAAACAATTTTCACCCAACAATGACATTTTCTTCATGCCTTAGAAATCGCAGCGCTAAACCCCTGAAACACAAAGCACTGCCTTTTCACACCTAAAAAAATACAGTTCTACATTTCCTTCAAAAACTGAGGCAGTGTTTTCTGGCACTACAGACACAAAGAATTTCAAAGTGATCACTTCTGAGTTTTTTCTTCCTACTTTTTCCCTCTTTACTCCATTTTGGCCCTGAAAACATTCTATTTTTCCACCCAAGATTATTCTGGAACTCGACATCTTTTTCTTCTCACGGAGAAGCAGGACCTGCCCCACCACAGCAGCTGTGCAGCTCTGTTCAACATGTTATTTTTCACCATCCTTCCCAAGGGGTAAGGAAGACAGTGGTAGATTTTTACTTACAGCTGCTTGTAAAGATGCTGGAAGGCCTTCAGTTCATATTAAAGGGACATGAGTTGATCTCATACTACCACTAGGAGAGCCCCTTTACTTGTGAGACTATAAATGCTTTCTGGTCCTGAGCAAACTAGCACGTAACAATATGGAGCTGACCCAACAACAGCTGCATACTACAGGTACGCAGGGCAGGGAAGGATTTCATTTTAGACACTTTTAAGATCTGGCTGGACAGGGTGCTGGGACATCTAGTCTAGGTCATGCTTTGCCTGGAAAGGTTAGACCAGATGACCCTTGAGGTCCCTTCCAACCTGGTATTCTCCTGTGATTCACACCGAAAATGCCCATGGTATTACCATCCACAAACGTCGCTTCCAGGTAATCGATAATCTGCGTTGCCTCGCAAATGATGTTTTCCCCATGGATCAGGACAGGTACTTCTCCAGAGGAATTCAAGCGCATGAACCACGGCTCGTTGTGCTCGCTCAGCGGCAGGTTTACATCGTGCTCTTCGCACTTGAGGGCTTTTTCGGCTATTGCCAGGCGCACCTGCAGCGGTACCACGGCGTTACCACAGCGGCGGCACTGCCCGGGCACCCGTCCCCAGCCCA